ATTGATATGTGTTCTCATCTGACATACGTATCAGGGCTAAATGGACTGGGGTAATTTACATCTTACTCTAACATCTTTATTCTGTAACATCACACACACACATGCACACTCATATCATATATATATATATATATATATATATACATACATACATACATACCTAACATCTTTATTCTATAATAACACATATACATACATTTTATTTATATATATGTGTGTGTGTGTGTGTGTGTGTATACATATACATATATATGGGTGAAGCTGGGTAGCATAGTAGATAGAGTGCTGGCCTTGGAGTCCAGAAGACCTGAGTTCAATTCCAGTCGCAGAAACTTCCTAGCTGTGTGACATTGGGCAAATCATTTAACCTCTTTTTGCAACTGCAGAAGGAAATAACAAACCACCCCAGTATCATTGCCAAGAAAACCTCATGGACAGAAGTCCATGGGGTCATGAAGAGTCAGACATGACCAAAACAATTGAACAACAACATGTGTGGATGTATGCATGTATGCAGATATACATGTACACACATGCATGTAAAATACGGTGTGTGTGTGTATGTAAATACCTATATTTATATATATACAGTAATATATATGCAATACACATGATACATGGATGCATGCGTAATACATATGGATATATTTGTCTATATGTGCAACATAACATGCACATATATGTATATACATGCATGTGTACATGCGCCTGCATGCATCCATACATATATGCAGTCTGTATCTATACATATGTGTATGCACACACATGTATTATGCATGTATATACATGATTAATATATTTATATATGTGCAAAATAATTAATACGTACCTATATGTATATACATACATACACATCTATGTCTATATCTATATCTATATCATGTATGTATTTGTTGCCTTATTAGAATGGAAACCCCTTGAGAGTGGGCTTGTTTCATTCCCCAGAACTTTGTACACTGCCTGGCACACAGTGGGTACTTAATAAATGCTTGTGCCTCGATTAATGACTTCATAAAGTTGGAGATGCCTCTGCCAGACTCTAGACTTTCACAAGCTCTCTCTCACTAACCTAGGGGGACACCTGGTGGCTGGTCAGTATAAAACTATGTTTGCTCTGAAAATGTAAATTACCTTAGAAAGATCTCTTTTTCTGATAAGAACTTCTGAGAAAACTGAAAAGCAGAAATTAGGCTTAGACCAACATCTTACACCATAGTCCACCGTAAATGAAAAATGGATTTGAAGAGAAACAAATCACGTACCTCTCCCAGCTCTAGGTAAGAGATACATTCTTAATCCAAGGAGGGACAGAGGCAATTACAAAGAAAAATTAGATGCTTTTGGTTACATGAAATTGGAAAGCTGTTGCACCAACAAAATTAATGCATCTAGTATAAGAAGGGAAGGATCAGCCGGGGAGAATCTTTTTTTTTTTTATCAAGTATCTCTGGTCCAAGATACATAGACAACTATCAGAAAAATAGAAGATCATTCCTCAAAAGATAAATCGTCAAAGTATATGATCATAGAGTTCTCCAAAGAACTACAAAGGATTCACAACTGTGTGAAAGAATGCCCCAGATCACTAATGGTGAGAGAAATGCAAATCAAAACAGCTCTGAGGCTTCCCCTCACCCAGCAAATTGGCAGGCACAATAAGACAGGAAATAGTGGGTGCTGGAAGGGTTGTGGAAAGACATTGTTGGGGGAGCTCTAAATTGGAACTCCATTCTGGAAAGCAATTTAGAATTATGCAAAAAAAGTGACTAACATGTCCATCTCCTTTGCCCCAGAAAACCCACTGCTGGGCATATACCCTAAGTAAGATGGGGATAAAAAGAAAGGCTCCCTACACACCAAAGTATTTTGTAGCAGCGTCTTGTATAGTAGTCGAGAACTGGAAAAAAAAAAACAGATGCTCATCAACTGGGGAAAGGTTGAATAAACTGTAGTACTTGAATATAATATAATAGCAGCAGACTAGGGGTCAGCAAGACCTGAGTTCAAATCCAGCCCCAGACACTTACTAGCTATGTGACCCTGGGCAAGTCATTTTACCCTGTCTGCCTCAGTTTCCACATCTGTAAAATGAGCTGGAGAAGGAAATGGCAAAACACTCCAATACCTTTGCCAAGAAAACCCCAAATGGGGTCACAGAGAGTCAGACATGACTCAATAACAAAAACCTACACATGTTATCTTTCACTTACTGATTTCACATTAGGAATGCCTAGAGAAAAATTTCGGAGTACTAACGTAAAAGTGTTTTTTTAGTTTTTATCATTAGTACGGCTGTTTCTCAATTACAAAACTGAGGTGACAAATTTGAGGTTCTGAATCCCTTCAGTAGGTTGAAGCATGGGTTTTGGTGAGTGGGGGAAATGTGTTCAAATAAAGAAATACGTAAAGCCAGTGGACTTTCTCAGACTGAGGGAACTCTGATACAGTATCAGATGCTTAATTTCAGAAGCTTAATTTTATCCATTTACCCAAGAGAGATCACAGTCTAGGGAATTAATCTTGGTCAACCAAACTCACAAAAAGGTGGTTTCATACAAGCATCAACTTAACTTACATGGCAGAGCTCTAACTGTTCTAGGGATTAGAATAAATTGATCAGCAAAGATTTCTTAAGCACCTGCTATGTGCCAGACTTTGTGCTAAATGCTGGGGATATAAGTACAAAGAATGAAACAATCCCTGCCCTAAAGGTATTTGTATTCTAACAGGGGAAAGAGCAAGCATACATACATGCACAAATATGTCAAGCAAAGTCTAAACTTGAAAACTACTTGGGAAAAAAAGCATTTAAATGCAAGGTAGTTTGGGAGGAAGGGCCCGGTTGGGATGATCAGAAAAGCCTTTTGTCTTCAGGCAGAAGATGGTTCATTTTGAAGAAACAGGGGGACTCTGTCGTGGAGGTAAACTGAGCCCTCTGGGAATGTGGAATATTGAGAGAAAGGCACAAAATTAAGATACGGAATCCCACAGTAATAATGATAGCTCTCATTTATATAATGCTTTAAGGTTTGCAAAACACTTTACATGTATTATCTTATTTGATATTCACAACAACCCTGGGATATTGGAGGTGTTATTGGCCTTATTTTACAGATGTGGAAATTAGAGCAGATAGATGTTAAGTGATTTGCCCAAGGCTGCATAAGCTAGTAATCGTCTGAAGCTAGATTTGAACTCAGGTCTTCTTGACTCCAGGTCCAGTGCTGGAGGGAACTCACAGAGTGCAGGAGGGAGAGTAATATGCAATGAACCTGAAAGATAGGTTGAGACCAGGTGGAAGAAGCAATATTAACAGAAGAGCTTGTATTTTATCTTAGAGGCAATAGGGAATTGATTAATTACTAGAGTCACATGGTCTGATCTTGGCTTAAAGAAAATTACTTTGTCAGCAGGATGGACTAGAGTGGGAAGAGAGGAGGTCAGGGATAATCTGGGTGAGAGGTGATGAGGGTTTTGAACCAAGATGGAGAGAATGCAAGAGCTATTGTGGAGATATCACAGACAGATTGGGCAACTGATTGACTGCATGCAGTGATGGAGAGTGAAGAGTCCAAGATGATGCCCAGGTTCTGAACCTGGAAGACTAGAAGATGCTGGTGCTATCCACAGAAATAAAGAGGTTTGGAAGAGGGGAGGGTTTAGAGGGAAAGATCATGAATACTTGTGCCCACTCCCCTACCATCCCGTTCCTAGTATTAAGATACTCAAGAAACGGAATTAATAATTTGGAGGTTGCTTGGCAAGCATGGAGTCTAGGTAAAGGAATTTGAATGGTTTTGAGAGAGTTCCTTTCTGTAATAGAAGAGCTATCGGTATTGCACAACCATGTTGGCTTTCAAAGAGACGTGAATGCTCATGTTGCCCAGGGCGTCTCAGTCTGTTTCTCTCTCTTCCCCTCTCCTTTCTTTGCGTGGTCTCAGATGAATCATTGTATTCTTAGATTTCAACTCTCCATTTGCTATGTGTGGAGCACTAACCTTCTGTCCTTGTTGGGATAACACACCTTTAAAATTTCAATAGGAATCAGTACTCCGTGTTAAAGTCGCCCCCTAGCGCCTCTTTGTGGAATGGTAGTGACTCAGACTTCCCCAAGCCTGGGTCATTGGCCTTCAGTACCTTTCAGCTCTAGCAATACGAGATTGGAATGATTTTATGAGGTCTACTAAGCCAGGGAGCAGCTAGGTGGCTCAGTGGATAGAGCACTGGGTCTGGAGTCAGGAAGACCCGAGTTCAAATGTGGCCTCAGACACTTACAAGTTGTGTGACCCTGGGCAAGTCACTTAACCCTGTTTGCCTCCATTTCATCATCTATAAAATGAGCTAGAGAAGGAAATGGTAAACCACTCCAGTATCTGTGCCAAGAAAACACCAAAAGGTGTCACAAAGAATTGGACACAACTGGAAAATGACTGAACAAATACTTTCATAACATTACAATTCTCAGGTGTACAGATTTATTTTTCATTGGTCACGTTTTCATTTGACTACTTCCTGTTAATGTAATGGGAGATACTTTTCATCCCATTGGTGAACTGTCTCCAAATTCCATGGCCTATTTCTGGGAAGCCTTTTCTAGTCCAGGGTTTCTTCACCTTTTTGCTGTCACGGGCCCTTTTTTAGTCTGGTGAAGCCTGTAGAATGGGTCTTTTCTCAGAATCATATTTTTAAATGCATAAAATCAAATATGTAGGATTACAAAGGAAATTAATTACATTGAAAAACAATGATCAAAAATTTTGTTTAAAAAGTTCAGAGACCCCAGGTTAAGAATTTGTAGTATTTTATTTTCTTGTTTAGCTTCCTATACATCTTACTCTACAACTAGATGGTAATCTTCCAGAGGGCAGGGTCTGTATCCTATACTTCTATCACCAAAGCATATTCTATTATACCATTCATTTAGGAGGAGCTTAATATATCTATTACTGAATACCCTTCTGAATATTTTTCTTCTTTTAGAAAGAAGAGGTGAGGCGGAAGCACATTAAGTTACACATGGAAGGGGCGCTAACCGCACGCGACAAAGTTGGGGTTCAAGACTTTGTGCTGTTGGACTCTTACACCAGCGAATCGGCTTTTGTGGATAACCTTCGCAAGCGATACCGCGAGAACCTCATCTATGTAAATGGAGCTATTTCTCTGCTCTCCCATTTCCTTTTCCTTATTCCATAGTTCTCCTGGAGAAACCAGCCCTTATGGCTAATATGACGCTGATAGGTTAATGATGAAGCAAACAGAATTTGGAGAGATGCCTGAGCGTGCCATCTGACTCCCCACTTCCCCCTCCAACCCTAGTAATAGAGTATCTTAGAGCATTTTTAAAATGTCTTGTGGGTTGTCATGTACCACAACGGAGGAGTATCCCACTGGGGGGAGCTCTTGCCCTATCTGCAGCTAACAACAACTTGTAATTGAACCTGACAGTTTTTATTCTTTATTCTTGGGTTCTTCAGGTAAAGCTATGAGGAACTTCAAGAGGCCAGATACATTATTTCTTTGTAAATCCAGCCTCAGACACTTACTAGTTGTGTGACCCTGGGCAAGTCACTTCACCCTATTTGCCTCAGTTTGCTCATCCATAAAATGAGCTGGAGAAGGAAATGGCAAAGCATTCCAGTAGTTTTGCCAAGAGAATTCCAAATGGGATCACAAAGAGTCAGACATGACTGAAACAGCTGAACAATAATGAAAAAACTGAGGTTTCATTGACTTGTTTGAAGCAGGTCACTAGAAGGAAGTTAGAAATATTCATTATTGGGGCAGCTAGGTGGTGCAGTGGATAGAGCATTGGCCCTGGAGTCAAGAGGACCTGAGTTCAAATCTGGCCTCAGATACTTGACACTTACTAACTGTGTGACCCTGGGCAAGTCACTTAGCCTAGCCTAAAGAAAGAAATATTATTTAGCACAGTGACTGGTACATGTTGTTTCCATCAAGTCCAACTCTTCGTGACCCCTTTTGGGGTTTTCTTGGCAAAGATACTGGAGCGGTTCGCCATTTCCTTCTCCAGCTCATTTTACAGATAAGGAATCAGAGACAAACAGGATGAAGTGACTTCCCCAGGGTCACACAGCTAGTAAATGTCTGAAGCTGGGAATGAACTCAGGTCTTCCTGACTCCAGGGCCTATCTTTTATCCACTGTGCCACCTAGCTGCCTGGTACATGCCCAGTATATAGAAAGTGCTTAGTAAATGTTTGTAGACTGACCTATGTTTTAATCGCAACATTTACTGTCAAGTGAATTGCATACTGTATATTTGTCAGTCAGTTAAGTAACCTTTATTAAGTGCCTACTGTATGCCAGGCTCTGTGCTAAGTTCTGGGGATACGAAGAAAGGAAAAAGTCCCTGCCCTCAAGGAGTTCACAGCCTAATGGGGAAGACAACAAGCAAACAATCATGTACAAATAAGCTACAGTCAGGATAAACTGAGGATAATCAACAGGGGGAAGGCACTAGAATTAAGGGGACCCAGGAGTGAGCCCTGGTGTGACAAACCATAGCATTAGAAAACCTAGTCTAGGGGGCAGCTAGGTGGTGCAGTGGCTAGAGCTCCAGCCTTGGAGTCGGGAGGACCTGAGTTCAAATCTGACTTCAGACACTTGACACTTACTAGCTGTGTGACCCTGGGCAAGTCACTTAACCCCCCAATTGCCACAACAACAACAACAACAACAAAAGAATAGAAAACCTGGTTTATTAAGAAAGTTTTAAAAATCAACTTTCCACTAGTTGTACAGGTAGAAAAATGGACATGATGCTATGTCCGGCAAAAGAAGAAATTGGGAAAGAGGCATGGGGAAGCATAAGTGGGCTGGCAGGGTCTTTTTGGCTAAATTTAACATTCCAGATTTAGTCAGATAGATTTTGGAAATTTGTTTTTCTGAATTATTTTGAAAAAGTATAATGAAAATTATTTTTAAAATTATTTGAAATCAGGTTTCTACTAATCAGAAGTAATGATTTTAGTTCAAACTCTGACTTTTCTTCAATTCCATGATTCCCTTTTATCCTGGAGTTACGATCAAGTTGTATATTTTACTGGAATTATAGCTAATAATAATAATATCAATTCACATTATATAGAGCTTGAAGGTCTGCAGAGTACTTTACAAATATGGTCTCCTTTGATCCTTGCAACAACTCTGGGAGAGACGTACTATTACTCTCCCCTTTTACAGTTGAGGAAACTGAGGAAGACAAGAGGTTAAGTATCTTGTCTACGGTCACACAACTAGTAAGCTAGCTAGGAGGTAGAATTTGAACTCAGGTCTTCCTGACTCCAGGAAGTCCAACTGCTCTATCCATTGTGCTACCAAGCTGCCTAGGGATTAAATACTTCAAATATTGACCACCAAAGGAGGAAAAGCACAAGATTCCTAAATAAGGATATGTCTTGGACAGAAGTAAGTTGTGTAATTCCTCCTGTCCCATTCCCTTTGTCTTGTGAAAAGAGGAATCTGTGTATAAATTCACAATCCAAAATCCCCCAGTGCAAGAGCCTCAGATCCATCTGTGTTGTCATTTTGACCACCCGGCTTGAAAAATCTTCATTTCTCCACTTTGAAGAGTGTTGTGGAAGACCTCCTTTTGGATGACGCTCCATGTAGAGGTTGGATTAGACAACTCCAAAGGTCCTTTCCAACTCAGATTATATGAGGTGTCTGTAAAGGTGAGGGGGGGCATGGCCAGGGGGTTCCTATAGTATTGCCATGTACTGACTTTAAAAAATCCTAGGAAACCAGTAGCACCACCACACAGCTCATAGACAGGAAAAGAAAGAGCATTCCAATATGGAGCGATGGATGCCGCTGATCAGTTGGCTCCTGGGTGTTTGCTGTATTTTAGGCGGTTGATTTCCACTCATGTTGGGCATCTAAAATGGTAGCCTGTGATCTGACATTTGGAAGGAGTAACTTCCTGTGTTGATGAGCTCACTTAATTGGTTTGTCCCTCCAGACGTACATTGGGACCCTCCTTGTGTCGGTGAATCCCTACCAGGAGCTGGGCATCTACACGATTAAACAGATGGAGCTTTACCAAGGGGTGAATTTCTTTGAGCTACCTCCACATGTGTAAGTAACACTAAGTCTTCCTCATAGACTTTTTGGTCGGTTTTATTGGGCTCTTCTCTCCTTTACATGAGCTATCCTTATCCTGTGGAAGAAGATGATTTTGGAATAATTGAAAACCTTTGTCTTCTGTCATACTGTTTTGTTAAAAAAAAAAAAAGAATGAATTTCTTCAAGTTTGTTGCTTGCTTGTTGACTTCGGAGCCTTCGTAATAACCAGTATGGTGCCCAAATGGAATGACCTAGGGAGATAGTGAGTTTTCCATTACTGGGTGTCTGCAAGCAGAGGTATAAAGAGTGTTGCAACAGACCCCTTATTGGATGATGCTCAAAGTGGGAGTCGGTTAAATAAATTCCAAGGCCCTTTCCATCTCGTGAGAAGTCTATGAGGGCAATGTGCCAATACTGGCCTTTTGATACCTCTTGGGATACCTAGGCACACAGGCCAGAGGGATACATTTGCATGGGAGAAAAATAGCTCCTATTATGGCAGTCAGTGCTGATCCCAAATCATCCATAATAGTTCCCTAGGCAGGAAGAGGCCACATCGGCTACAGCACATTATAATGGGCCTGTTTTCCATGGCCCCTCCCACATCTTTTGTCGCCTTTATCCATTTGCTGAATATACAGTGAAACCTCAGAGTTGTTATGATTTGTATTGTATAAAACAAGTTTTCATGACTTGGTGCATTTTAAAAATATTGCTGCTACTGTTCAAGATCCATTCATCCTAACTTTGTTTAATAGAGATTAATTATATTAATTATGTCATCAATTAGTAACATAGAGCTATTAATAAAGATATTCTGTTTGATCGATGAATGAGTCATGCTTGAGGCTTTATGTGGTTTGTTGAAAGCATCCTGGTATCACGTACAGATATGACCTGCTTGGAGATAGGGGACTTGGCCGTCCTGCTCCGGGGGGCCCGTAGACCTGTGTGGGGATGCGCGAAAGCTGAATTCCTTCTGTCCCCCTCCTCATACAGTTACGCCATAGCGGATAACGCTTACCGCATGATGTGCTCAGAGCTCAATAATCACTTTATCCTGATCTCTGGGGAGAGCGGTGCTGGCAAAACGGAGGCTTCCAAGAAGATTCTCCAGTACCTGGCAGTGACCTGTCCCATGACGGAATCGCTGCAAATAGCCCGCGACAGATTGCTGCTTTCAAATCCAGTTCTGGAGGTAGGCAACACTTCAAATTCTGTTCAACGTACAGTGATAGAGGAGTCTTTCTGGTGACATGTCATTTTCCTGCTCCGGGGATTGATTCTGGTCCAGAGTCCTCAGAGGACGAGAAACAGAAGTTATGCCTAGAGACAGAAAGGCAGGTGGGTGGCGCAGTGGACAGAGCGCAGGCCTTGGAGTAAGGAAGCCCTGAGTTCAAATCTCACCTCAGACACTTCCTAGCTATGTGACCCTGGGCAAATCACTTAACAAGTTTCTTCATCCATAAAATGATCTAGAGAAGGAAATGGCGAGCCACTCCAGCATCTTTGCTGAGAAAACCCCAGACGGGGTCACAGAGAGTCAGAGGTGACTGAAAAATGACTAAACAACACCCAGATACAGACCAATAACCTGCTGGTTAATACTGGGCAAGTTGTTTTCTTTTTGAGACCCGGTCTGCACAATGGAGAATACCATAGTCCTAGGTGGAAAGAATTTTCTTAGTAGACCCTCTATGATGGAAGACTTTTCCAAAGGAGTAGAAATCATTCCTACATAGATATAAGCCTAGCCAAGTCATGTCAGGTCAAAGAGCACTTATTAAGCACCTACTGTGTTTTAGGCACTGTGCTAAGTGCTGGGATGTAACCATTTGTTCATGATCTTTAGCCTGTCATGACATTCGATTCTGGGAAAGGGACTTTCTGTTGCTTCAGTCTGACCCTAAAATAGACTGTTCTTAGTATCAAAGGTTTCACGTGCTTTGGGAATCCTCTGAGAGGTCCCACATCATGCTCATTCTTCTCCATCCCTCACACAAATCCCTGTAGGAATCAGAGTCATGAGGGGTGGCTCAAAGTCTATTCGTGTAAGAGTCTCTTCATTGGTAGAGATGGATTCTTTAGTGTTCTGTGCCTGGAGAGAAGAGAGAACCTGGTCTTCTAGCTTTCAGCTTCTGGTGAGAGAGAAGACACATGGTTCCAGACTCTTGATAGGATTTTAGACCAGGTCTCTGAAAAGTTAGGAATGCTAACAGAGCAATAGGGTGATAGCTGATTTCAGTCTTTTGATCTTTTATTCTTAGGCTTTTGGAAATGCAAAAACTCTCCGAAATGATAACTCCAGCAGATTTGGAAAGTACATGGATATCCAGTTTGATTTTAAGGTGAATTGGGATTTGGATTGGTGGGGAAGGCATTCAGTGGCAAATACTAACTGGAACCAAATGGTTAGAGCAATGGTTCTCAAACTTTGTGGTCTCAGGACCCATTTATACTCTTAAAAATTATTGAGGATACCCAAAATTTTTATTTATGTGCATCATATCTATCAACACTTACCATGTTAGAAATTAAAACTGACAAAATTTAAAAATATTTATTAATTCATTTAAAAATTATTTAAAACTTAAATGAAAATGAGAATAAATCAATTAAATTTAAATGATTAAATTAAAAATTTTAATTTCAAAAATTGAATTGCAAATAAATATTTAAAATATTTATTAGTTTTAAACTAAAAATCACAAACCTATTTTGTATTACCATAAACAATATTTTAATGAAAATTAACTGTTTTCTAAAAACAAAATAATGTAGTGAGAAGAATGATGTTGTTTTACATATTTTTTTCAAATTTCTTTAATGTCTGGTTTAATAGAAGACAGCTGAATTTTACTATCTGCTTCTTCATTCTATCAGTTAAAGTATGTCGTTTTGTTGAAATATCTAGGGGCAGCCAGGTGGCACAGTGGATAGAGCTCTGCCCTTGGAGTCGGGAGGACCTGAGTTCAAATCTGGCCTCAGACACTTAACACTTACAAGCTGTGTGACCCTGGGCAAGTCATTTAACGTTGATTGCCTCACCAAAGAAAAAAAATCCAAAAAAAGTCTGGTTTTACTCTAGTATGTTGTTGGAAAAGAGAGGAATAGTTTAACAGGCAAATAATGTCAGTCTTATTATAAAATAATTTTGCAGATTTCCTGAAAGGGTCTCAGGGACCTCTGAGGGTCTTTGTACCATACTTTAAGAATGTCCAGTGTAGAGAAAAGATTGGTAGAATTGGCTATGGGGTCCCAGCTTCAACACTTAATAGTCGTGTGACCACAGCAAATCATTACATGTCTCTGAGCATTGGTTTCCATCTGTAAAGTGGCGGCAATAATACTGGTAATGTCATTCTCTCAGAGATGTCTTGGGGTTCAAATAAGACAATATCTGGGAAGCACTTTGCAAGCCTTTTGGGGCTACATAATTATGGAAGGGAGGGTGTCAACTGCATTTATTTTTCTTTCATATCTGAACTTAATTCAGGTACTGTGGTGCATTTTGAGATTTTTTTTTTAATTCTTGAGCTTTGTCTTAAAGACATCTAACATTCCACAGGTTATAAAGAGAATTAGTGTTGTTTCATCAAAAAAAAGTAGCGCTTAAAAAAAGTGCCCTTTATAGGACATTTGTAGGTCCAGACCCTAGCAGATGACTACCCCAGATTCAAAGTATTCCGTGGCTCCATACTGCTAAAACTATAGCTTATGAGTCCCCACCAGCACATTCACCTTTAATAGTCAAGAAGAAGACACAATTAGTTCAAAGGAAAGGCATTTACTGAGATGGCATCTTAAACACAATTGCTATAAAACATTCCCCTACATATCTGGGGTGTGCTCTCCCATAAATATACAGTTTCATTGGGAAGAGTGTTAACAGAGAAGCACACGTGTAGGGAGAAGGAAATGGCAAACCACTCCAGTATCTTTGCTAAGAAAACCCCCATGGGTCACAAAGAGTTGGGCATGACCAAATGATTGAACAGCAACACACGTGTAGGGAACATGTGACTGGCAAAGTCATTCTTCTGGCATGGCAAGGCCCCAAAGTCCTTCCTTTTCTTGCAGTGTCCCCATGTTGCTCTTCTTGGGTGCAGTGTCTGCACGGAACCCTGAACCTGTTCAGCCTCATAGCCTAACTCCTCACAGCTGGAGCTAACTCTTTCTTGACTCACAAAGCTCCTCTGGTCTTACCTTGACTGACTTCATAAAGTCTTGCTTTTTAAAAGGCTGCCATGGGCATGGATGAACCTTTGATCAGCCATGGCTAGCTACCCACTAATTCCATCAAATTGGGATTTGATTTTCTTTAAGACATTAACACGTCATTGTCAGTCATCTCCCCTCATGTCTTGTAATTTTATCAGCTGGATTGGAGAGGGATATCAGTTGATCAGGGGCTTTCTGATCAACTATCCCACTACCCAAATTTTGTTGTTATTTAGTCATTTCAGTTGTGTCTGATTCTTTGTGACCCCATTTGGGGTTTTCTTGGTAAAGATACTGGAATGGTTTGCTTCCTTCTCCAAACCCAAATTCAGTCATTTAGTCAAATTTCATCATTCTTGAAGAATATCTTTATTATAAAACTAAGATGATTTGCTTTATGATATAGCCATTGTATTTCCTTTTAAAAATTTATTTAAATTTTTATAATAAATAAAATTAGAATTTTAAAAATCATTTTTCTATTTTCTATTTAATCTATTTGTATTATTAATATCAATAGGAATGAATAGTAAACATATACTTAAACAAAATATATTGATATTTTATTATTATTTATTTTCTTTTTTATTACAAACTTGATAGAAATAAACAAACATCATTTCCATATATTAAAAATAGGGAAATTACATATGAAGCCCTGAATCTCAGTTATGTTTTTTATACTTTTAAAAGTATATATATAATTTGTCCTTGTATCTCTTTTGAACTTCTGTTCTCATTTGTGTATTTTATGAATGTTTCATTATGTTCTTTTTTTTCTTTTTCTTTTGGGGGGCGTCTCTATTATTCTTATCTTCCCAACTTCCCCTCCCTCTTCAAACAATAAACAAAACAAACATCTTTATCATAACAAGTGAGTGCAGTCAGGAAAACAGATTCATTCTTTGGCCATGTTGGAAACAAAATGTTTCATTCTTCACCTCTAGCCCATTGCTTCTCTGCCAGGTCATTGCATTGATCAGTTCTTAAGTCTTTCAAAACTGTATCCCTTTACAACATTGTATAAATTGTCTTCCCATTTCTACTTGCTTACCTTTTCATCAGTTCACATGGGTCCATTGGGAATGGGGGAGACTTTAGGAATTTGAATGGACTTTATGTCGGAAAGAGGACCCTAGATTCTATGTTGTTTTCAGATGACTGATCTAAGCTTTGGCTTTGAATTTTCCCAGGGAATTCCAGTAGGCGGTCATATTATCAGTTACTTGATAGAAAAATCTCGAGTCGTTTTTCAAAACCATGGAGAACGGAATTTTCATATCTTCTACCAGCTTCTGGAAGGAGGTGAAGACGACCTATTATCCTACCTGGGACTTGTGCGGAACCCCCAGGCATATCTCTACCTAAAACAGGTTGGAAAATCATGGCATCTAATATCTAGTGTCCTTCTGGAGGGTGGGACTCATTTCCCCCTTCTTGGAGTAGTCTCACCTCTTCCTAGCTTCCTTCAAAGTACAGCTGGAGGGCCATCTCCTAAAGAAGACCTTTCCTGATCTCCCCAGCTATCAGCGGTCTCCCTCTGACCAAATTACTTTATATTTACTCTCTATATATTTTTACATACTTATCTCCAAACATGCTATTTTGTTCCCAGTGGAATGTGAGTTCTTTGAAGGCAGAGACTGGTAGTGTTGTTTTTTTCCCCTTTGTATCCTTGAACATGTTGAGATGAGATATCTATGGAACACCTAGGTTGGTGATGTCAGACTGGAGCTCAGGAGAGAAATTAAGTAGGATAGGGTAAATAGGAATTATCAAGATGAGATGATAAATGAAATGGGAGCAGGTGTGTATCACCTAAGGGAAAACAGAAAGAGAAAAGAGGGTCCCGGATAGACTAGAGCCTTGGAGGATGTGTGGATGGGATGGTCATCCAGTGTGTAAGACACCAAACCCATCTTTGAGCTGGTATAAACTTGAAGAAGGGCCACTAGGTGGCGCCATAGCACATACAGCGCCTGACCCGGAGTCAGGAAGACTCATCTTGTGTTCAAATCCAGCCTCAGACACTTAGTAGCCATGTGACCCTGGGCAACTCACTTCACCCTGTTTGCTTCAGTTTCCTCATCTATAAAATGAGCTAAAGAAGGAAACAGCCAACTACTCCAGTATCTCTGCCAAGAAAACCCCAAATGGGGTCACGAAGAGTCAGATATGACTGAAAATGCCTGAACAGCAGTAACAAACTTCAAAGAAAGTGCCAGGAAGTTCTACAAAGTCCATTTATGGATACCGACGTAGGAAGCATGTTTAGTATAGACCCAATATTTAAAAATGTTATAGAATACATTCCTTTTTGAAGCTATGGCATTCACTAGGTGTAAGACATACACATTAAGTAGGCATTTGCCAATTTTAAAGCCTGCTGACAGAATGAATAAAAGAAATCTTACTGAATCTGTTCTGCAGTGATGAGAATAATCCACGTTTCTCTAAATACTAAATCAACTTCCTAACTAGAATGTCTCCTTCCACCTGGCCAACAGAGAACTCAGAATCCTGTATCTGTTGGCAACGGAATTTTAGTATTTTTTTTCTGAATCTGAACATTGTGATTTCAGTGCCCAAATTCTAAGGTGTGGGACTGATACACGTATATAGATGATTTGATTTGATTAATATGTGAGTGACAATTTATTGTGAGACAATGAAGTGTCAACATTAGCCATTTTTAAAAAAGTTTTCTCAGAATAGAAATTTTCTTATGACATTTCCAGACTTTGTAAATACTATTAAGAAGACTGAGAATTACTACTATTATACATATTATTATTAGTTGTTAAATAATAGTTTGCTTTTTAGCAGGGAAATCCATTTTGTCTATTGAGAAAAGTAATGCCCTAGCTTTTGTATCCTAGTACAAAGAGAATTGTGGTGGTAACCAGCCAATCAGCATTCATTAAATACCTACTGTGTGTCAGACTCTGTACTATGTGGTGGAGATATAAATACAAACGTGAAGCAGTCTGCCTTTCCAAACCTACATGGAGATGGGGCAGGATACACCATATTCACCGATAAGTACATATGGGATATGGGCAAAATAATATCATATAAATTCTGAAGTGGGGGATCTTAACTCAGTGTCTGTAAACTTTTTAAAAAATTATCTTGATAGTTGCATTTTAATATCATTGGTTTCTTTTATAATTGTATGTATTTTACATTATGCATTTAAAAAATGTGATTCTGAGAAGGGGCCCATAGGTTTTGACGGCCCACCAGAGGAGACCAGAACACAAGAAAAGATTCAGAACCCCTGGCCTGAAGCATTTGGACATAATTTATGCCCATGCACGCCTAATGGACAGTAAAACTGGCATCAAAAGATTCTCTCTGTCTCTTCTCCACAGGGTCGGTGTGCCAGAGTGACTTCGATTAATGACAAGAATGACTGGAAAACTGTGGTCAAAGCTTTCTCCATCATTGATTTTAATGAAAATGACTTGGAGGTATGGACCACAAAGATGTGGTTGCCATCTTCCTCTTAAGGCTGAGAATGACAGCTAGGAGCACAGTTTCTTGGTGGCTTCCGATTCTCCCCAAGTTTTGGGGTAGCGTGACATGGAGGAGAGGAATTTGACTGTGGTGTAATTGTCTACTGACCCAGATGACTAAATGTACTAGGATTTAAGTCCCACATAAATTAGAGTTCAGTGACATCTCCTTGCTTCATGTAATTTATCCTAAAATGTAATGTAGGAATATTTTATTTTCTATATTTTCCTCTTCTACCTTCCTGTTTCAATTTGTTTTTTACTCTAGATTTAGTCAAATTCTTTTGAAAGCCAGAGTAGATACTATAAACTGGGCTGAATTCACCCTTAACCCTTCCCTTTCTCTTAAATACATATTTTAAAGTTTTTGTTATTGTTTTAAGCGCATAGTTTCCAACAAACAATAAATCACCAGTTAAACCAAAAATGGGGTGAATCTCCAACTAAAACACCGAGATTTGAACCATTTACATGAATGAATGAATGAAGTGTTTTTCAGCACTTCTTCAGTGCCAAGCACTGTATGAAAGGGGTACAAAAACAGAAAATGAGGTGGCTTGCCTTCAGGCCTCCTCAGAGTGAGAGGGGATCAGCCCATTACAAGACAATCATTGCTTCCATTCTAATGGAGATGACTCTTGCAACAAAAATAAACAAATAAATAAAGAGGGAAAAATAATAATCAAAAACATCCATTTACTCTAATTGTATATGCAATATTTCATACCCATGGTCCTCCACTTTTGCAAAGAAGGGAGTACACATTTTAAGAAAACAAAGTTGAACTAATCCCTACTCACCCATCACAACATCACTTCCTGTGTCTCCCCTTTCAAATGAGACATACTCATAAACATCCTCTACTTTTCCATTCATATGCATGTATATATGTATATACATATGTATATATACACACATATGTACATATACACATACGTATTCATACACACATATACCTATATCTACACACAATAAACACATGCCTATAGAGATCTATTTATTTATCTATATCCTATATTGGTATATATGGGTGTGATATATGATTGATAAAGATAGATCTATACATAATATACATATATCATTTATACCTATATAGCTTTACCTATACCATATCTATATAAACCAATATAGATGTATGATAGACATATCTATATAGATATATCTATATCATATATACTTATATAGATATACTTATATCTCTTTAGAGGTACTTATACAGATATCTATCTATAGCCATATATCTATATAGGTATATGTGTATGTATATGTAGATATAGGTATATATGGGGGGAGGCAGAGAGAGAATATGTTTGAATGAATAAAAAATCACACATTAAGCACTTACTATATGCCATGCATTGTACGCACACACGTATGTTTGTGGAACATTTGTGTCTCTTGTTCCTCTGATTCTGCTGACCTCATCTGAGATCACTTGACCTTCTGTATTTCTTTCTCTAGCTCAGGTTTTTAATGGTGCCGTAACATTCTGTCATATGCATACATTGTCATTTATTCATCCATTCTCCAATCATTAGGCTTTGTTGCCGGGTCTGTCCATTTGTTTGTTTTTTTGCTGTTGAAAATAAAGACAGAGTGCCTATTTGTGGACAGACAGGTCCCATTCTCCCTGCCGTGATGTCTCCAGGGTGTAGTCCCAACGGTAGGGTCAGAGCTGGGTCAGAGACTATAGAGTCATGGCTCTAACTGCTGGAAGGGCCATGCGTGGTCCATCTTTGTGGCTCTCCTTCTCTATTATCTGATTCCTTTCCAAGAAGCCCCCACCCACAAATGTAATAAAGTCTAGTTCCCTGACAACACTGAATTTTATCACCTTTCTTGTTGAAGGGGCAGGGCTATTTGGTTACTCTCATGCCCATGGTGGGTGATGCCCTTGCAATCTCTTGGTTTAGATTTGTATGATTGTTAACAGTTTGTGTTTCCCTCCACTCAAAAATTCTATTCCCCTTTATGTCCTTTGATCATTTTTTCCATCAAAAAGTTCATATTTCTTTCATCAATGTATATCATCAGTTCCTTATGACTCCTGAATGCCAGACTTTCTGCACTAAATTTATCAGAAAAATATTTTCCCCTAATCAGTTTCTCATCTTTTTATTTTAGAGATATTGCTTTGGGTCGTGCTTTCCCATTATGATTTGATACGAAGAATTAAGAGCAAAACATTTTGGGGAAACATGACAAAAGCATTTTCAGCAGCTAGGGGCTACAGTTCCCCCCACTTTCATTTTTAGTTAATAAATTCGTTCATTCATTGATCTACTTGTGTGCTTATTTATTTATGATGTACATTTTAAGCACTTTTTGATTTCCAAATTCTCTCCCTTTAGCCCCTCCCATTGAGAAGGCAAGTAATAGGATATCAATTATATACAAATGCAAAACATATTTCCATATTAGCCATATTGCAAGGGTGGGGGAAGCAAGAAAAAGAAAGTGAAAAGAAGGAATGCTTCAGTCTGCACCCAGAGTTCCTTGGTTCTCTCTGGAGGTGGACAGCGCTTTTCACCATGACTTGAGGGCTACGTTGAGGTAGACATCACTGGATTCTACATCAGGGTTTCTTCTTTATCCCTTATTCACCTGGGCTCTATTCCTCCTCCAACTACTTAACCAGACAACTTGTTCCCCTCCCCCTTCACTATTGCAGAATCTCTTTGGCATCGTCGCCAGTGTCTTACACCTGGGGAACGTTCATTTTGTAGAAGATGGCGACGGATGCGTCACTATCCCTGACAACAGTCAGATCAGATGGATAGCCAAGGTAACCCTCCTCCGACTCCATTCTTCTCAGGGCTAGCGATGAGAGATGCCCCAAACCAGGGCAGAATGATGATGGCTGAGTCACTCAGCAGGCTGCTGGATGGCATAGTGGATAGAACATCGTACCTGGGGCCAGGAAGACCTGAGTTCAAATGCAGTCTCAGCTACTTACCAGCTGTGTGATGATGGGCTCATCACCTGCTGAGTGCAGCCTCAGTTTTCTCATCTGTAAAAGGGACATAATGACAGCGCCTATCTTACAAGGGGTGTTTATGAGGATGAGATAATATTTGTAAAATACCTTGCAAACCTTAAAGTACTATAAGTACTATAAATTATATAGTACTATAAAGTACTAAAAGTACTGTAAGTGCTAGCTATTATAAATAAACAGATTGTAGTTCTAAGGTTGAGGCTGTTGTCATAAAAAAACCAATCAGGATAGTCTGGGTCCAAGTCCAACCACTGGCACATTCTGATGGTGTAACCCTCGGCTAGTTTTTTAATTTCTCGATGTCAATGGCAGCTCTCTAAAACTATATATATATATATATATATATATATATATATATATATATAACCAAGCAATTGCTGACCTGCATTGGGAAGGGGAGTTGGGGATTCATCCTGAGAGAATATTAATATCTCCAACAGTTTTCTCATATAAATTCTGGTCAAGGCAGCCAAGCCAGCCTTAAAGCCCAGGGTTCAAATCCCGATCAAAAGATCGAATAATTCAAAAGGAATACTCAAAGTTCATTTGATTCTATCTCTAAGTATAGAGAACAGAGAGATGATTTTAAAGGCTATATAATACAAAGTCATGTTTAGCACTTTGGTTACCTTATGTAACTCTTTATCATGGCAAGTGATTATTATCCAGGTATGAACTGGAAAAAATTTCTGTACTAAACTTTTCATATTAAATTTTTGTAGCAAAATCAGTCAAGCACCATTGCTTGGGGCCTCGGCTTACTTCAGTGGCAGGCCAGAGGAAGAGGAAGGGAATAAATATTAATATAGCACCTACTGTATGTCATTCATTGTGGTCTCATCAGTATAGGTCCTTCTTTTAAAGGTACAGATTTCAACCCATCCATATTTCTCATCCTTTGTGACTAACATCACCCATTAGTCTCTTATGAAGTTCTGTCCAATATTCTGGAGGCTTTCCTCTAGGTGTTGTAAATAGTTAGGTGGTGTGGTGGATAGAGTCTGGAAGACCTGAGATCAAATCCAGCCTCAGATACATGTCAGCTTGGTGACCTTGGGCAAATCACTTTACCTCTGTCTGTCTCAGTTTCCCTACCTGTAAAATGGAGATGATAATAATAGCCCCTCCCTCCCACGGTTGTCATGAGGATCAAATGAGATAACATTTTTAAAGAGCTTTGCAAATCTCAAAGTGTTCTATAAATGCTAACTGTGATGACAATGATGACAATGATGATGTGAGCTCCAGTGTAGCTCTCTTGCCCCTCTTCTTTAATCTTAGCCACCAACTTACCTTCTTTTTTATTAATTTATTTTAATTTATCAATAAACACTTCCATAAGCTTTTGAGTTTTAAATTTTTCTCCCCCTCCCTCCCCTCCTCCCACCCCAAGATGGCGCACAATCTGATATACTTACCTTCTTTTTTCATTCACATTTTTCCTCCCCCTTTTCATGTACAAAAAAGTGGCTGTCATTGGCTAGGACTTAGAAATATTCTTGTTTATAATACTTTACAACTTTGATTATACCATCACTTTGGATATAATGGTTTGGTTTTTTTAATAGAGTTTGACCTGCCTGACTTTTTTTTTTTAGTATTATTCTGTTAACAAACAAATATGAAACACCAGCAATGCCCATTGCTCTCTGACTGGGAGATGCCATGTATAATAGAAGAATGCTTAGCATGAAAATGTTGTCAATCCTTTGGATTTTTAGTCAGCATGTGATGCTAATGGTCAAAGAGCTATCCCTAAAATACAATGGAGGCATTGATTCTCACGTTAATTTTTCTTCTTTCCAGCTGCTAGGTATCCACTTGTCAGCTCTTCAGGAAGCTCTGACATATAGAAAGATTGAAGCCAAATCGGAAGAGGTATAAACCCAACTCCTACATGGAACCAGGCCAGGCTTCCCCGTCCCTTCCTCTGGCTGCCCATTGGTGGGGAAGGTCTGTGTGGCACCATCCCTCTGCCCTCAGCTCAGGCCATTCACACAACCAGGCACTTGGGAAGACCTGTTTAGGAATTTTGACTCATTGGAGTTTTCTTTCTACCATGTAGTGGGCGCCCTTTAATTGTTTTTCAGGTGTTATGCCCACTGAATATAGATCTGTCGGTCTATTCCAGAGATGCGATGGCTAAAGCTATTTACGGACGGACCTTCACTTGGCTTGTCAACAAGATCAATGGGTCCCTAGCCAACAAGGTGAGTCAGATGACCTATTCCAATGGAGTATGACATTCAGGGAGGGTACTGTATCTCTCCTAATGACTGAAAACATAGTAGTCTTTTTTGGTGTCATGGAACCCTTTGATTGTCTGGTGAAACCTATAGATCCCTCCTCAAAATCATGTTTTTAAATGCATAAAATAAAATAAGATGTCAAAGGAAACCAAGTTTTTGAAATATAGGTATTGACATTTTTTTCCCATCCAGATCCTCAAATCCATTCAAAATCCATCCATGCAACTACAAATGAACCCACTACCACTAAGTGGAACCACCACCACCACAGCGCATTATTTTTCTTGACCTTGTATTTCAACCCTTCATGGTTGTGATGGTCAGGGACCATAGACAGGAAACCAAGTATACAGCTGCCTAGGTAGGGGTCAGTGGGAAGAGAAGGCACATTGATAGGGAAGGGGCACAGAGCAAGAGCTGGGTGGGTAAGTGGTTACACTCTTCCCCCACCCAGCCCCTCAGAGATATACAAGCATGGGCTTTGTGTGTCCCTGGGGCTCTTGGACAAATGAGCCGAGGAAATAAGGGCCCAGATATTCAGAGGCCAGAACCACTTAGCCCTGGAGGCTCCTGCCCAGCTTTGAGAGGCATCTCTGTTTTCCACAATTGATTTTCTCATTGGTAAAAAGATGTCTTCATTAGTAAACCCTGTGTGTGTTCTTTTGGAACAGGACTTCACCCGAAAAACTGTAATTGGGTTGCTTGACATCTATGGATTTGAGGTCTTTGATAAGAACAGGGTAAGGTCATTATGTTCCAAATAGATCATGCTTAGACATTTCAGGTTTTTCAAGTATGAGGTCAAGATGTCAGAGGTCCCACTGTGATCAGAATGGTTTCTCCCATTCTTCTTAAACATCCCAACTAGCAAAGCCCTTACCTTTGATTTGTAGAGGCTTGATTTAAGAATACCAGGAAATAGAACCAAAAGAGTGGGGATGTTGTTTGTTCTTTGGCAAAAGAAGAGTTAGGTGGCACAGTAGATAGAGCATTGCACCTGAAGTCAGGAAGACCTGAGTTCAAATCCTTCCTCAGACACTTACTAGATGGATGACCCTGGACAAATCATTTCACCTCAATCTACCTCAGTTTCCTCAAAGTGGGGATAATAATAGCATCTGCTTTACAAGGTTGTTGTGAGGATAAACTGAGATAATAGTTATAAAATACTTTGTAAACTTTAAAATGATGTATAAATGCTAGCTATTATGATGATGATGAAGAGATGCTTTATCATAATAGAAACCCCATGGGGTTGAGTAGCCCAGATGACAATGCATGCACAATCTGGTCTCCCCCTGCAATTTATTTAATCCCTTTCTGTTTTAAGTTTTGAACAGTTCTGTATAAATTACTGCAATGAGAAACTTCAGCAGCTGCTAATAGAGATGACCCTCAAAGCAGAGCAAATAGAATATGAGCTGGAAGGCATCGAGGTATGACATCCTCTTTTTCTTCTGCCCCTTTCCATGGAGTGGTTAAAAAGGCCATCTGAGGACATCCTCTTCAGGACAACTTTCCATGGAACGCCATTTTTCTCATTGGTGCCAAGGTGTTTTTTTTTTATGTGCCTGTTTTCTTCTGGGCTCCCTGGGAAAGCAGTTTGAAATCCATACTAGAGTCTTTAATTTAATGTACAAGATATCCCCAAGATGGGAATTAGTCCAATTTTGCATATTTGGCCCTCACTGCCAGAAATTTAAACAGACTTCTTTGGCCTCTGAATTGAGTTGTTCAAAGCAGTCATGTTTGAAATGCATCTTCTGTTATCTGGAAGCACAGCTCTTTGAAATGAGAACCCCTCTGCCTTCTCATTCCAGTGGGAGCCGATACAATACTTCAATAACAAGATTATATGCGACTTGGTAGAAGAGAAGCACAGAGGAATTATTTCGATTCTGGTGAGAAAACGAATCTTGACAGTGACCTAATGAGTGTGTTGTTTTCATTGTACAAAAGCAATATTATGGGGTTGGATAATCCTGTCTGTTTCCCCCCTGAACTCTCGGTACTTTGGACACCCATTTTTTTTTTAGGAAAGGTAGTGTGGTGCAGTGGGTAGCACACTGTATTTTTTTGGGGGGGGGATGGAGTTGAAAGGCCTGAGTTCAAATCCCAACTTTTAACTAGTTGTGTAACCGTGGCTATGCCTCAGTGTCCTCCTCTGTAAAATGGGGATAATAATCACCCTTACCTCATAGGGGTGTGATAAGGATCAGCTAACATATGGAACACATAATATACGCAACCTCCAAGCGCCTTATAAATATTAGCTATTACTGCAGTTCCTGTATCTGGCTCCTTGAGACAAAGGGCCTTGCCTTTGTTCCATGTTTTCACTCCAGTATCTAGTTTTGTTATTGTTCTGTCATTTTTCAGTCACATCTGACTCTTCCTGACCTCATTTGGCATTTTCTTGGCAGAGATACTAGGTTGATTTGCCCTTTCCTTTTCCAGCTCATTTTACAGGTGAGGAAACTGAGGCAGACAGGGTTAAGTGACTTGTCCAGGGTCACACAGCTAGGAAGAGTCTGAGACTGGATTTGAACTCAGGTCTTCCTGACTCTAGGCCCAGTGCTCTGTTTATTGAGCCACTTAGCTGCCCCATCCTACTATCTAGCATAGTATTTGACATATAGTTAGCATGACTGAATGGCAATTCAGTCAGCTAAGCATTTATTAAGCACCTACTACATGCCAGGCTCTGTGCCCAGCACCGGGTATTCAAAGAAGGGCAAACCATGATCCCTGCCCTCAGGGAGCTCACAGTCTAGTGGGGGAGACAACATGCAAACGATGAGGTACAAACAAGATGTAGACAGGAAAAAGTGGAGACAGTGAGTCCCAGGAAGGCACTGGCATTAAGAGCAATCAGGGAACCTTGTGGGAGATGGGATTTTAAGTGGATGGGAAGGAAGCCCTGTGACACCCTCAGATTAACCTAGACCATCATCACGCCACTGGGCTGAGCATTAGCCAACCTTATTTTGAGCAGCTGTCTGACTTCGCTCTGCTGTTTCATCCCCACTTGCACCCCAGGAAACCAGAAGAAAAGGCCTTTTTAGTCAGGCTGTGCCAGGCCCTGTGCCAAGGCAGAAGACAGTCCTTGCCCTCGAGGAACCTCCAGTCTAATCAGGGAGAGAGCATGCAGATAGATAGATACAAACAAGCTAAGTACAGGATAAATAGGAAATAATTAACAAAGGGAAGGCACTGAATTAAGGGGGTGAGGAGGAGGATTTTAGTTGGGACCTAGGTGAGTAGTCAGTATGGAGAAGTGAGAGCATTCCAGGCAAAGAGGACAGCCAGAGACAATGCCCAGGGCCAAGAGACAGAGTGCCTTGTTCATGGCCAGCATCACTCGATCAAAGAGCATGTGGTGGGGAGTGAGGTGTAAGGAGAGTGGAAAGGTGGGAGGGGGCAGGTTAGGAAGGGCTTTGAATGCCAGAGCATTCTGTATCTCCTGGAGGTGATAGGGAGCTGCTGGAGTTTATTAAGTGGGGAGGGCATGACATGATCAGACCTGAGCTTTAGGAAGATTGTTTTAGTGACAGAAGGGTGGATGGTTTGGAGTGGAGAGAAACCTAAGGAACACAGATCCCCCCAGCAGCTATTGCAGTAATCAGGGTATGAGGTGATGAGGACCTGTACCTGGGTGAGTGATGGGGTCCAAGGAGAGAAGGGGGTGAATTCGAGAGATGCTGCAAAGGTGAAGTGGACAGGCCTTGGCAATTACTTGGATCTGGGAGGTGAGAGATAGTGAGGAGTCCAAGATGGCTCCTGGGTTGGGAGACTGAGGGATGGAAGGAGGGTGTCCCTTCTACAGTCATAGGGAAGGCTGGGGCGAGGGGGGCAGGGTATAAGTGGGGAAGATCATGAGTTCTGTTTTGGACATGTTGAGTTTAAGATGTCTACTCTACATTCAGTTTGAGATGTCTGAAAGGCCTTTGGACATAGATAGAGAGGCAGATTTGAGAATCATTGTCATAGAGATGGTAATTAAATCCTTGATGAGATCACCAAGTGAAGTACTATAGAGGGAGAAGAGAAGAACAGGGCAGAGCCCTGAGGGACATCTGTGGTATGAGGGTGTGATCTGGAGGAGGATCCACAGAGGGGAGGAGAAGAACCAGGAGAGAGAGGGGTGCCCTGGAAACCCAGAGAGAAGAGAATATTAAGGAGAAGAGAGTGATGAACAGTATCAAAGGCTGCAGAGAGGTCAAGGAGAATGAGGACCGAGAAAGTCCACTGGATTTGGCAACTAAGAGATCATTGGTAACTTTGGAGAGGAGAGCAGAGGAATGATAAGGTCAGAGGTCAGATTGTAAAGGGTTAAGAAGAAAGTGAGAGGAGAGAAAGTGGATATGCCTATTGTAGATGGCCTTCTTAAGAGTTTAGCTACAAAAAGCAGAAGAGATATAGGACAATAGTTATCAGGGATGGCAGGATCAAATGAGGGCTTTTTCAGGATGGGGGAGACATGGGCAGGTTTGTAGGCAGTAGGGAAGGAGGCAGTAGAGAGGGAGATATTGAAAATAAGTGAGAGTGAGGATGATGGAGGGGGCAATCTGTTGGAGAAGATAGGACAGAATGGGATTGCTTGAGCAGATAGAGGGCTTGTCCTTGGTGAGATGGGGAAGGAGGAGAGTGGTAGATGGAACCTGAGTGACGGGAGATGAAGAAGAGAGGAGTAGAGGGAGTTTACAGAGAATGGCCTCAATGTTTTTCTGTAAAATATGAGGCAAGGACCTCAGCTGAGAGAATTGGAGGTTGGAGAGCCAGAGGAGGTTTGAGGAGGGATGAGAAGGTTTGGAAGAGCCACTGTGGAGAATAGGAGAGTAAGTTGATAAGACAGGAAGATTGCCGAGCAGTAGTGAGGACCCAGCTGAGTTTATGTAACATAAATTTGTAGTGGATCCAGTCAGAATGGTTGTGTGGTTTTCTCCATTTTCATTCAACACCCTAGCTGTAGGAACAAAGGCAACAAATGGTGGGAGTGATGCAAGGCTGAGGTTTGGCTGGGAGTAATCAGTGAAATGATAAAGGGCTGGGGGGTTGGGATTCAAGAAAGGCGGGCAGTGTAGAGTTGAATTGGTTCACCAAGGAGTCAGGATGGGGAGAAGAGGAGAGAGGGGCTAGTGCAGGAGAGATGGCCTGGCAGAGAATTGAGGGGTCAAAGGCTTGGAGGTCGCAGTGAGGATGAAGAATAGTTTTTAAGGGGAGACAGAGGGAGAGATGGAAAGCCAAGAGATTATGGTCAGATAAGGGGATTTCAGAATTCTTCAATGTGGAGTGGTACATTTGTGGGTGGTGGCAAGATCAGGGTATAATCACCGTTGTGTGCAGTTGAGGTGAGGTGGAGGAGTAGTTCATGGGAGATAAGCAGGTTGAGGAACTGAGTGTCCTGAAGGAGGGTGTTTGATGAAGAATTTGAGGAATGATCAGTGCATATGCTGAAATCCCCTAGTATGAGGATAGGAATTGAGGAGGAGAGAAGAACTGTAAGCCATGTACTGAGCTCACTGAGGAAGGAGAGGAGTGACCTGGGGGGTCTGTAGACAACAGTTACCAGGATTTTGATTGGATGGGAGATATAAAGAGCATGAATCTGGAGGAAGGGGGAGAACCTAGAAGTGGCAACAGGGAACAAGGAATATTCCAACTCCCCAGGTTGGACCAGTGAGCCAAGAAGAATGAGTACTGGAAAGGGTGGCCTGGAAGGCTGTTTGGGGAGAAGCCAGGTTTCAGTAAGAGTTAGTAGATGCAAGCAGTGGGAGAGGAATAGATTTAAGATAAAGGGAAGTGTGTTACCTTTGGAACAGGGGACAGTGGAAGGACTGGATGAAACTTTGGGGTGGGAAGGGTGGTAGGGGCTGTGGAATGGGATGTGGGTGGTAAGCTCGAGGAATTCAGACTCACTAGGACATGAAGGGCATGAGAATGTTCCTCACGGAGTGGAGGGTGCCGCTTCTCTACCCTCCAAGGTCAGGAGGAGCAGGACAGGAGAGGCCTGAAGTCAAAAAGAGGGTTAATCTTCTGTGCACTGAAAGTTCTCCACATCCCAGTTAGGAGCCTGGGCTGTCCAAGATCTTCTCACCTGAGGAGGCTGACTATGAGGGGGCATCAGGAAAATTATTAAGAAAAGTTAAGAGGGGCAGCTAGGTGGCACAGTGGATAGAGCACTGGCCCTGAAGTCAGAAGGACCTGAGTTCAAATCCGGCCTCAGACCAAACGCTTGATACTTACTTAGCTGTGTGACCCTGGGCAAGTCACTTAACCCCAATTGCCTAAAAACAAAAAAGAAAAGTTAGAGTGAAAACTTTTTTTTTAATTTAAGAAACTGTTTCCAGGTGCAAATTTCATAAGTACCAAAACAATTTTCTTTGACTATTAAATAAATATCTACTTAATGAACTCCATCCAAAAGGAA